CACCTCTCCCACTACTCACTTGAACCGAGCCTCGCCATCACGGCCGTGGGAGAATCGAAGGCATCTATGCACAATTCTTCTGTGTGCGAATCGACAAGAATGAGAGTTGGCCGACTTGGTTGTGTACATCAGCTGAATAACTGTAGAAACATGGAACGGGTTAGACTCGCTACATGCAGTGGCTAAGGGCTGTTTTGGGTGAAGAGGGAACGTACACACCAACCCTTCTTTTTGAACCCACCCTACGTCTTTTGACCCCATGGCCAGCTGTGCCCAACCATAGTTCGAACTTTGGTCCAACCTTCCAACCCGTTGAGAGCGACCCCAATTGCAAGCTGCCGCCTTTCCCCCCATGCCCAGGGCTCGAGCTAACATTATGCACTTCTGACTTGCAAAATTGTGCTAAGAAGAGGTGGGATCTGGGCCATCAAAGACACTTTTGCCCTTTGCAGCACCCATTTCGACCACATACACTCCTCCCGTCGAGTTGTCTGCAACTTCCATCCTGGATGACAACGACCTAGGCCTCCATTGTGGAGTAGATTAAGGATATTTTATTTCTTCATCGTCGATTCGTTCACCACCACGGGTGTTCATCAGAAGCCCGAGCTCATTACTCTCACCTCTGAGCTGAGCCAGCTCAGGCTTGGACTACATTAGTTCTAGAGGCTGCTTTTGGAGTCTAGAGTAGGGACAGCTTACATGGTCAAGGCTATTACCGTCAGTACAGTGCAGATGAAAGAATACGTGTACTTATAAGAACGAAAACCTTTTATTAACACTTATACATTCAGTAGATACCAATGGATTTTCTGAATAATAGCACGACATGTCAAGTTGATTACAGTCCTTCAATTGCAGGAACGTAAGCACATGTTATGTCTATCTCTCTTGAGGTACGCTTATGGGCATTCACCACTCTGTGGTTGTGTGCTGGCCGGCATCGTTCAGGGGCTTACTTCTTCCTTCTTCGTTTCTTGGTTCCCTAATTCAATAAGATAGTTTACTCCATTCATCCGTTCACCTCACTAAAGTGCCAGAACCAACATACTCTCAAAGCCACTTTTATTGCAATTGCCACCACTACCACCGCTGTATAAAAAAAGCACCAAATCTACACCCTCTACGCCCCCTTCGCCTTCAACCACGCCTCATGCGCCTTCTTCTGCCTCTCCCACCCCTTCCTCAGCACCTTCCCCCTACTCTTCGTCACCTCCGCCCCCTCCTTATCCTTCACCGGTAAGCCATCCGCATCCCACTCGCTCCACTCCTCCGTCCTATACATGACCAAATGGCTGACACTCGCGGCCTCATTCTTCCTCCTCTCCTCCTCCTCCCTCTTCACCCTCGCCTCCTCCTTCTTCCGCTCCTTCTCCTCCGTCCTCCTCACCTTCTCCTCGCGCGCCGCGACCAGCTCCGCCGCCGGCGCAAACTTAATCAGCGCAGGCTTCCCATTCGCGAAATCACGGTCATCGAGCGAGACGCCGAGCGCCGCAAGATCATAATCACGCAGGTTATCCGAGAGCGTCAGCAGCTCCGCCGATGTCGCCGCGTCCGGGTTTGCAATTGCAAGCTTGCGGACTGAGTCGCGGAAGGCTGACAGTGCGCGGAGGTACGGGAGGAGGGCCTCCTCGGGTGTTGCTGCGGCGGCGGAGGAGGCGGAGGCGGAGGTGGGTTCGGACCAGCCGATGCGGTCCTCGCCGGCGGGGGTGGAGAGTGGGTCGAGGCCGAAGACGGTGACGATGCGGGTGATGTAGCGGGCGATCTCCTTTGTTGCGGCGAGGGCGGAGGTGGCGGACATGTATTTGTTTGTTTCGGTGATGAGGTCTGTGAGCGCCTTCATTGCGTCTGCAGTGTTGAAGTTGTCGCAGAGCGCCGCGTGGACGGTGGCGCGGGTCTTGTCCAGTCTGCCCAATATATTAGCACAAAAAACCCACATATCGATCATTGACACTACTACTACTAGGGGACAATATCATACTCTTTAAAGATGGCATGCTCCTTCTCACCAAACAGCTGCGGGATCTTCTCTCCGCTGCTCTCGCGCGCCTCCTCTTCGGCCACAAGCGCCTTGACGTTCGCGAAGAACTTTGTGACGGTGGTCTCCCAGTTCTTTGCCTCCGCGAGCACGCCCTCGCGCACCTCGATGCCCTCCTTCCACCCGCCCATGAGGAAGACGACGCGCAGGCCGCGCGCGGTCCATCCGCCGCGCCCGAGCGCGTCCCGGATCGACACAAAGTTCTTGAGCGACTTTGACATCTTGCTGCCGTGGATGTTGAGGTGGCCCATGTGCAGGAAGTAGTTGATCCACTGGTGGCGGCCGTCGAGTGTTTTGTGGCCTTCACAGCTATAAGGGGGGGGGGGGGCGAATCATGAGTTAGCACGCGGATAGTACCTCGAGTGACAGCACATGACTGCGACAAAGACCACAGCCTGATAAAACCCGGGGAGAATAATAACCACAGAGGAGCAACAAAAGGAAGAAAGAGGGGTAGAAATAAAGACTCACCCATCCCAATACGCCTCACTCTGCGCAATCTCATTATCATGATGCGGAAACGCCAGATCCACACCTCCCGAATGAATATCCACCTGCTGCCCCAACACCTCACTACACATGACCGAGCACTCAATATGCCACCCGGGCCTCCCTCTCCCCCACGGGCTCTCCCAGCTGGGCTCCCCCTTCTTACTCGCCTTCCACAGCGCAAAATCCTGCGCACTCTTCTTCGCCGCCGGCACCCCCACCGCCACCGTCTCCGGCTGCGTCGTCGTCGCCTTGCCACTCGTCAGCGCGCCCTCCCCATCCGCAATCAGCGCCTCATCGCCCCTATTCCACGGCTGCAGCTTCGCATAGTGGTGGCCCGCGGCCTCGTACGCCGCGATATCGAAATAGACGCTTCCGTCGGCCGTCGGGTAGGCGAAGCCCCTCTCGACGAGCTTCTTCACGAAGGCCACGTTCTCCGGTATGAACTCGCTGACGCGCGTGACGGTTGTCGGCGGGAGGACGTTGAGCGTGCGCATGTCTGTCTCGAAGTGGCGCTCCCAGTACGTGGACAGCCTCGTGAAGACGTCGGTCTCGTACTCGCGGTCGGCGTGCAGCTTGTCCAGGTATGGGAGCAGCACTGGCGCGCAGGCGGCATAGAAGGCGGCGGTGTCGGGCGGGGGGGTGGTGGTGGTGAGGGCCGTGGCGGAGGTGAGGAGGGTTGTGAGGTGCATTTTGAGCTTTGTGGTTGCCTCGTCGAGGACGGTGTCGTCGGAGGGGGAGGCGATGAGGGCGGCGAGGGTTGGGTGGTTTGTGTTGGCCCATGCGGGGAAGTCGGCGGGCGTGGGGGTCTCGGTGGTGATCTTGCTGAGGTAGGAGCTCCAGGCGGAGGTGACGGTTTTGAGGACGTCGGGAGTGAGGGTGGGGTTTGAGGAGGTGAATTCTTCGAGGAGGTGGTTTTGGCGCGCGCGGAGGATGATCTGGGTGTGGATTGGTTAGCAAGAGGGTCTGGTTTGAGTATGAGTATACAGTGGATTATAGTATATTCTGGGTGTGATCATTGACACTGCGAGTGACATCCAGTGCTTCCAATACCACCCACAGGGCGGCGCCCAGAACACCCTCGATACACTCATTCCACACAGTATCCCCAAACCCCACATCACAACCCCCCAATAACCCAAAGCCAAAGATAGAAACAATAAAAAAAAAAAACTAGCAAAAAAAAAAAAAAGAAACCAACCTTATCGTCCACATCCGTCACATTCTGCACAAACCGCACCTCAAAGCCAAAGTAATCCCTCATGATCCTCCTCAGCACATCGGTCGTGACATAATTGCGCGCATGCCCCAGATGGCCCGCGTCGTAGACGGTGGGCCCGCAGCAGTACCACGTCACCGTCTTGCCCGCCGGATCGAGCGGCACGAACGGCTCCTTCTTGCGCGTGAGCGAGTTGAAGATGCGGAGCGGGGGCAGCGGCACGCCGTCGTGCGCGCGCGGGAGCGTCCATGGCGGTTGCTCGCGTCGGGTGCTCATTGTTCTGCGGAGGATGGGCTGCAGGTGGTGGATGTGGTGGATGTGGTGGATGTGGTGGTGGTGGTGGTGGTGGTGGTGGAGGTGGTGGTGGGGATTGGTTGGGCGGGGGAGGAGCAGGCGGGGGAGATGGTGGTGGGGGAGTGGGAGTGGTCGTCGCAGGAGGAGGGGCATTCTTGGTGTGTGTGGTGGGGTCTACTACAGTCTCTGTGCGAGTCGGAAGGGTGCAGCAGCAGCAGCAGCAGGAGTCACGGAAACGGAACACTGTGCTGCATGGGTGACTGTGGGTGAATACGAGAATGCGGGCACGAGAGGGAGAGAGTCAATATAGATTTCTACTGTTTCTACTCTAATTGTCGCGTTTGCACATGTATGCGGTCATCTGTAAATGTATGTATGTCCATGGAGCAGTTCGGCGGTGTGCGCTCCACGCAGGCTAGTCCGCACTGTCCAGGGCTGCAGCGAGAAAAAGCAACTGCAGCTCTGCCAATCGATTGCTCCCGAGTCTCCGTCTGCTGGGAATAGCATTATCTATCTATCTATCATATTGGAGAGAGCGAGGGACTGAGAGACAGACAGACGAGACAGCCAGACAGAGAGAGAGAGAGAGATCCCTTTGAACTCACAGCTCTCCCCCCCCCGTCACGCATAATGCCACTTTCTATGGCTGCGCAACTAACTCTGCGCACAGCCTCACTCGCTCTGCTCTGCGAAACCCCCCCCCCCCCCCCGGTCCAGCTATGGATGTAACTATGGCGTGACACCGACACCGTGACACCTGCGCCCTTGCTTCCTGCGAGTTCCGTAACATCGCGACCGGGGGAACCAACGTGCCTCAAGAAACCCGCTCACCCTTCTCCTCGATCCTCCTCTCCAAAACACCACGCAGAGATATTCACACACACTCCACAGTGAGAAGAGCAGAGAGAAACAGAAACACGAAAAAAGACTCACCTTCCTCACACACACGCACCCTCCACAATGAGAGGATCTACCACCCAAGGCCTCCATCTGGACCTCTTGACCCCCGAGCTCCCTCCGATCGCTGCCCTCTTCGTGATCCAGTTCGACCTCAAAGCTGGGTAGGTGGACAGACAGCTCCCCCCCCCCGTATCTCTTTCGGCTCCACTAATTCCATTTCTCTGCCTCTCTCAGGTACACAATCACCTGGAAACGCACCACGCCCAACGTGAGCCTCGATGGTGTCGAGTTCAAATCCCTACCCTCGGGTCTCCACAACCTCGACAGCGACCTCGTCTACTTTGTGCACCCGCCGCACGCCGGCATCAGCGCCTTCATCCGCGTCCCCGCACCTTCGTCGGACCGCAACGCCCTCCAGCTATCCATTGGCGCGCTCGTCCCACTGACATATGGTCGCCTCGGCCGCTCATGGCGGCATGCCGCGAACCTCCAGGCCCTGGCAAAGAGCTTCGCAGCGGATCCAAAGTCGCATGGTGTGCTCGACGAGTACTTTAATACACACAGCATTCCCGCCGACAGCGGCGAGAACCTGCGGTATCGGGGCGGCGACAGGCGCAAGGGGAGCGAGAGTGGCTTAGCGAAGGAGCTTGAGCCGTTTCATCCGGCAAAGAGCTTACGGAGCTTCATAGGCCTGCTTGGGCCGCTTGTGTGGCCGGTGTGGAGGGCGGCGCTAGAGGGGAAGCGGATCCTTGTCGTTACGGGGGCGCCGGTGGAGAAGGCTTGTAATTTCGGTATGTTGGCTATACCTACAATACCCCCTCACACAGCACCTGCAGATAGCTAACAGAGAGATAGTCTATGACATATCAATTCTGTCCACAGTTCCCCTCTCCGCGCAACCGTTACTTCCGTGCCCACCGTCGCGACTCCGACCTCTATTCTCAGTGGGCGTCTCGGATATACCGTTGCTCGAGACTGAGGCGAAGACGCACGGGTCGTGGGTCGCATGTACAACGGACGAGATCCTGCACATGAAGACGGGGCTGTATGATCTTGTCGTCACCCTACCACCAGTCTACAACGTCGATGCGTGGCCGAAGCTCGAGACCTCTGCGGGGACACCGGTACTAGCCACCCAGCGGGACCTAGTACGGTATCGTGGGCTAAAGAGGTGGATCGGCGGTGGTGCCGGCAGCGGCGAGGAAGAAGAAAGTGGGCGACGGGAGGAAAGTGTGTGTGAGCCAATGAGCTGGCGTGAGATTGCATACACGGGGTTCCTGTGGTGGGCGTCAGCGGGCGAGAAACGGAGTGAGGGGGAGGGGGATGAGGGCCGGCCATTACTGGAGGAGGATGGGGAGGAAGAGGCGCCGCAGAAAGATGGGTGCTTGGAGGCAGAGGTAGTGGCGTATTTCCAGGGGATGACGGATGCGCTGCTGGCGGGGATTGCAGAGGTGGTTGAGGACGCGGAGGAGGGCGAGGTGGTAGTGTTTGGGTGCGAGGAGGTGGAGAGATTAGGGCTCGACAAGGGTGAGACGGATGCTGCGTTTGTGAAGGCGGTTTGCGAGAGGTATTTCAGCAGAGAGGCCCGAGTAGAGGTGGAGGGGTGGTCGTGCCTGGGTGGACTTTGCTAGGATGTAGGTAAGTATTTAGTTGGTAAATCCCCTTCTTTCCTTTCTTCTTTTCCTTGTTTTTTTTCTATCTGTGCTTCATGAGTAGTTAGCTGGCTGTAGAGGGTGGAAAAAAAAGCGGGTGGCGGTGGTCTGTATAATCGTGTTAATTAATGAACGAACGTCAATCTGTCACTGGATATTGGATCATGAGCGATCACTCGGGGTGTTTGGTTGGCTGGCTGCTGCCGGGATCGATGGTTGCTGGAGGTCGAGGATTGGTGATTGGTGGAATGTTTGGTAGACTGGTAGACTGGTAGACTTGTAGGCTTGTAGACTTGTAGACTTGTAGACTTGTAGACTTGTAGACTTGTAGACTTGTAGACTTGAAGGGCTGGCTATATACTCGCGGATAGAAGTACAGGGTGCCAATAAGAAGTCGATTACTCGTTGTCGTTTGAGATCTCTCCTACACCTACAAGTACCTACTGATGGTCATGGGGACTCAACCCACTCGGTGTAGCAAGACGAGCTGTCTACCACTAGACCACGCCCGCCCACACAACTGTCAGTGGCCCGGAAGTAATACTTAACGGGGCGGGGCAAGGCGAGGCGAGGTAAGAGGAGCTAGGGAAAGCTAACCCTGCCATGACAATCTACCACGACGAATCACTCTCTCAATTTCCGGCCTCTCCCCCCTCGCTTCTCTTGTTCCTCCTTGTGGAGGGGCGCAGCCCCCTATTGGCCCCTAGGTGATCCCGAGGAGCGGGGAGGGGATTCCCCCTTTTCTTTGTTTTCTCGGCTCTGGCTCCGGCACTTCATTTCACCCTCCCCTTCCTTTCCCCTCTCCTTCTCGGTTCCTTTCTTCCTTTCCCATTCTCTTTCCTCCTTCCCCCCCCTTCTCCTCACCCTCCACTTTCCACTTCCTCTCCTCTCTCTTTCCCCCTCTTTTACTCTTCCTCCACTAGCGAGTCCCCCCCACTCCCCTTCATTGTTATGCGTCAGTTCGTTTAGCCCAAGTACCCAGTCGGTATGCCTTATGCACCCCCCCCCCCCCCCCCAAACTACATGTATCCTCTTCTCCCTTCCTGTTGTCAAATACCACACCCCCCTTCCCTCCATCTTTCTTCCCCCCGTCCTTAGTGATCTGGTTTTACTTACACAAGCAATATGGTGTAGGGATAATGCAATCCGTCCTCTCCTTAGCGCCTCCCCTCCCGCCTTAAGCTTCACAACGCCACACCCACCCCACCAACAGATCAGACGCATAATCCACCCGAATTTAAGCTATTCAAATCCCTGGGCTATTTCTAAAGATAGGTGATCCGCCCTGCCCCTTGTTGTGGGGAGGTACTCGTCGCCAGTCGTCGGTCTATGACCCTGGAGAGGAGAGGGAAAAGGGCCGGTAGCGTGTCCGACACTCAAGGCCCCTAACTATTAACTATACACCCAGGAGCAGTATAGACCTAGATATCCTGTGTAAGATACAGTACATGCCCGTACCAAGCGACCAGACAGGCTCTACAACGCGACTTTCTATCCCATAACCAACACACCCATAAATCTCTCTGCTTCATGAGCCATCACTCGCATCGAACCGCACCAGCCTTCGGCACCCCACGCGGCAACAGAACTCTGACAGTCGGGGAAAATATCAAAGAACCAGAACTAGACCATTCCAAACGTTGGAGCACAGCGCGACGGTCTATGTACATCCTGTGAACGGTGGTTTGTGAGACATCATGGATTATCACTCGATAGTTTCCATTGACGTTCTGGATGCCCCCCGTACGGACACGAGAAAACGCTCCGCCAAATATGTAACAAAGGCTTACACACTGTAGTAATGACTTCTACTCTGTAAACTCTGCATGAGCCTGAGCTCCTTTTAGAATAACACCAGGATACTGCGGGTTTGAAGGGCATATAAGATCTTAAGAACGACCGCAACCGAGGATAGTAAGAGATGATTGCGACGTATGTTTGCGACAGGGCCAGATTGGGCACCAGCTACCTACAGACCACTACCTTAATGATGGGCTGAGAGTTCCGCAGCCCCCGACCATATAACTTCGCAGATGGGAAGATGTTGGAGTTTGAATGACCACCAAGGTGGTAGGTCGACCGTCACCGCTCGTCAGAGCATGGGTGTATGTACAGACACTCTTATTACGCCGTAAGATCAGATCAGAGGGGATCAAGACAGCATGTATCAGTTCCCACATAGGGGTTGATTAGGGTGTAGGAGCTTTCGTAGCAGCAGGCTTCCTCTCCGGTTATAATTCGCACCATCTGGAGCTAGTAGGCAGCTAGTAACAAATCGGATTTTGACCTGCAAGTTGGGAGATATTGGTGGAGTGAGGGCAGCTGTCGAAGGGTTTATAGCAATACTATACCTGTCAATGAGGTTGAGATAGCGCGAATTAGTCTGACGCCATTCATAAGACGATCTATCAAGGACATATTGGCGAATACAGTCCTATCATGCACTGTTTCGGTACGGCCAACGCTATCTCTAATGTAAACATGTTAACCTAAAACACTCGGCTGTTCAAAAAGTATATACAGTACTTCCTTCTCGTGAGTCTACTGGCTTAAAACATGAAAGGGGGGACTAGCCAGACATCTGGAAGCTAGAACCACCACTCCTAAATCCTGAATTTCGAATCTTATCTATGGCACTACAGCTCGATACAACTTGAACTAGATACAGGCCTATATGTAGTGATAGAGGCGGGCAAGCCCCTGACAGTTCCATCTTTACAAAAATGACTTATAAATGCCGATTTCCATTTTGTACAAAAGGTCTCTGGTGGATTATAACGTCTCAACTTCACTAAACAGCAGCTAGGATCCATTTCTGGAGCTCAGTGGGACGGCCACCATTTGGTAAGGTAGATTTAAGTAAGATATCGCGATACGCCAAGTTTTTCCAGGAAATCCTGATCGACGTATACTCTGTAGTTTCAACTTCAAAGGCTTTACCAACTATTCATATGTTTATTACTTTTGGATTTTGAATTTGGTTTCAATCCTTCCTAAGCGGTATCTTTATCTTCTATTACCAGGTGCCTCGATTCTTATTCATATATGAGCGACACTCTTCCAAAGTCTTTTGAACCTCTAAGTTATCAACTATGACGAGCATGTACCACTTTGGAAATCTTTGGAAAATTCTTTTCAACTAATATGCATTACTTACTTTTAGGGGATTACAAATAGGATATTGTAGTTACTACCTAACAGTTGTCCAGTGAATCAAGTCCTCCTGATACTTATCGAGACTCTAGACATCAGTAGAGAATGATCTGAGAATGAAGCCTCAATCAATCACAATAGCCTCATTGCTAAAGTAATTCTCCAACCAGTCCCTCTCTTTCTTCGTGCACTCCACTTTCCTCTTATGACTTTTCTGTCTGATATGAGCCTCCCGCTCCATAGGAGGCATCTCCATTATGCAGACCTCACAGATCAACGAGTTTTCAGTAAATATCAAGAACTCCTATCTCTACTGTTAGCGTGCCGAACCCTTGTGATGAACAAAAGCTTGGGGGGAAAAAGAAATTAAAATACCTCTTTAAGGTAGCTTCCTCTCAAGCTCAGAAGACGTGGTTGATTAGCGTGCTCGTTATTCCATGCAACGTTTTCATCCCTAATCATCTCAATCTTCTTTGCAACATCGAGTCTCCTCAGGAGATCTTTCATCGCAGTCCCATTCCACGGCCCAGGCAATTTGTCACCAACTGCGGATGGGATTGCCGCTGCTTTCTTCGCTTTAGAGTTCTCGGAAGATTGATAATCCCCGCCCGCCTCATGGTCCCAGACGTTGTCTTGTCTGTTTGTAGTTCTCTTTCGATGACGCTTTATATGCTGCTGCTGCTGCGGTGGCGCCGGCGCCGGCCAATACGCCGCACTTGTCTCGGGCGGACTCCAACTCCCCAGCTCACCCTGCCAGGTCTCTTCATCTGAAGAGCGAACTCCTGCCTGCACAATACTGTCCATCTCATGTAACCTCCCCCTCTTGGCCCCTCCCTGCCCCGGGGACAAGATGCGCTTCCGCATACTTGCCGGCTCAGTGGGGATATAGGCATGACCCTGAGCCCCAGTTTGCTTGAATCCTAAAGATGAAGAGGAAGAAGGAGCAGCCTCTTTTCACCAGTGTTAGCAAAAAAAAAAAAAAAGCCGAAAGAAATTGTGCAGTTTAAGACCTATCTATTATCCGGAAGGGAAACAAACCTTGAGCGTGGCCATCCTCTCCTGAGGGAGCCGGATTCTTGACGATGTTACGATATTTACCCGACTCTGTAAGCCTACTTGAGCCAAGTGGGCACAGGTTTGCACCCCTGCCCAGGCCATCAGTTGGGCGGTGCGGGATGGCTTTTCTGTCTGGAGAAATATGATCCGGTCCACCACAGACAGCGAGTTGAACAGCTTTTTCGATTCTTCCCATTGATGGAGATTTCTTCTTTGGTGGGGATGACTTGGTTTGTTGACGGGTTGTTGCAGCCCTGTGGAGAATATTTAAGAGGGCTGGGTACAGGCCGGGCATATGCATCATACGACATCACTCGCTAGCGTGGTAACAGCTGACGACGCAGCTGTCCCGCCTACACCGTCAACAGATTCTAGCCGAGAAGCAAACCTCTCTATTGCGAGCACGCAGTCGACTACTCACAGGCAGCTGGTAAAAAATACCACTGGAATACAGGACCGAAAGCTACGGGTGCAACTTCTACTAATCTTTTATCTATTTTATCTATTTTATCCCGTTATAGCGGGAAGCTATAAAGTTGAAGTAATTACAAACTCTAACACATTCACAATCTTTTTTCTGGTATTAGCGAATCTCCAACACCAAATTAGTGGTGATGGGATGATCCACAAGTCATTGAAACTCAGTTTATTTAAAGATTCACGTTTGATCTACAAAACGTATCAACGACCCACTATTTTAGAATGCTTTTTTCTTACAGTTACGGCAAGCATAATATACTGTTGATAGTACTTTAGTTCTATCTGATTGTGGACATAGTTTGATATCCCTAAACACTAACATAAATTTTTAGCACCGCATCATAAAGTACAGCGCCCCGTTCAAACAAAACGAAAATAAAAACAATCAGCCCCACATCTACAATTCGTCATGACCTTTCTTGGCTTTGGCCTCTTTCTCTTCCGTTGGTTTCTCCTCTACAACCTCTTCCAGCACGTTTGGCGTTGCCTCCGCCTCTGCCGCACTCGACGCTGATGCTGCCGAAGCCGAAGCCGAGGACGCAGACGCTGCAGAAGCTGAAGAAGACGACGAAGCAGCGGCCTTTGCCTCAGCTTTCTGGATTCTCTCCATGATCTTTTGCTGCTGCAAAACATCCATGACGTGCTTATTCAGGGCCTCCTTCTTCTTTTGGAGCTCTTTGACAGTAAAGACAGGATCTTCGTAGTCAGTCTTGGCATCCTGTTCTGTCTTCACCTTCTCGAGCCAGGCTTTAGTCTCCTTCTGTGCCTTCTCCAGAGCCTTTGTGTCGATTTCAGGAACTTTAGGTACATCGGCATCTTCTAGTTCAGAATCAGGCGTGGGTGGCTTATTGTTGAAGAGTTCTATGAGTCCTTCCGTTTGTTCAATGGCATCCTCAAGAGCCTTGATCTCCTCTGGTCGTTTCTGCTTCTCAACTTTACGGTTTGTAATAGGTTCCACAAGGGCCTTGAGGTCAGCCAACTTCTGTTTGATGGCAGTAAGATCGGCGGTGTAGCCTTCGTCGTACAGCCAATCCGTGGTCTGTGAGAGAAGGGTCTCTAATTTCTCGCGCTCTTCGGCAGTTGAAGCAGCAACAAAAAGCTCATCCTCAAGATAATCACGGCCACGGTAGGTGAATGCTTCAAGTACATTGCGGGCTTCCTCGATATCATGGCGATTCTTGTCGAATTTGTCAAATCCCTCAATCCTGGAGAAAGTTAGCTCTTCATCCTTAAATTTCAAATGCCCTGGGTTTTGCTCTTACTTTGAAACTAATCTTGCGATGTCCTTCTCTGGAATTTCAGGAAATCCATCCTTCTCCACAATGTAACTCAGAGGAATTTTCTGCAACTTCTTGATGATCTTCGGTGTCAAGTCCTCCTCTTTAGTAGAGGCTTCTGCGGAAGCAGAGTTCTTTCCGGAAGAGGTTGTTTTTGATGATGTTGATTTTGAATCCGTCTTATCAGCCTCCTCTAGGACTTCCTGCTCCCCATCCTTCTTCTTGCCAAGCCCAAAAAACCCCTTGACACCTTCAACCATGCCTTCCTTCTTGGGAGGTTCCTCGACAGTCTCCACGGTACACTCAACCCAGCCCTTAGTAATCTTAGGAAGTCCATTCCTCTCACTAATCTCCATACTAAACTTGGTGAAAATATCCTTTGCTTCACAACCAAAATCATCGCTCAATTTTTGGACTGAGGCGGTGAGATTTTGAACTTTTACAACATCAAGGAGCTCGTGCCCAGACCTCTGCTTCGGGTCCTGTGGGCGGGGGGGGAGGTTAAACAAAACAGAGAAATCGAAATCTGTTTGCTTGGGGAAAGGGACGATTTTTTCCTGGCCCATTTTGGCAAAGTAAGGGAAAATTTGCTGTGTCGTTTCTGCTCATTGATGAGTAGTTAGATTACTGGCCTTAGGAAAAACAAAGCTTGACTGAATGTTTTACCTTTAGCCGATTCACCATCCTTTTTGTACTTGAGCGACACAGCATATGCACTGATATCGTGAGTCCTTATCTCTTTAACCCTAAACCCACCGCTCTCTGCGGCACCCTTGAAGGTGGCTCCAAAAACAGCGGCCTCGTCGGGATTAACATTCTTAGAAATCTTGGCTTGGCCTCCCATAATTTCCTCCAATTTCTTCCCAACAAATGGAGTTCTGACGGCACCTCCGTGAAGGATCAAGGTGTTGACTTGATCCAAGGAGATTCCAGAATTTGATATGGCGTCCATGATCGGCTTTGTGATACGGTCCTCGTACTCAGCTAGTAACTCCTCGAAAGTAGATCGCAGGACTTTGTTTGATCGGAAATCAATCTCATTAAACAGCGATTCGACCGAGCCCATGGTTTCTGTATTTGCAGAGAGGATCTGTCGCACTCTAGTGGCTTCCCTCCAAAGTTTGGCTGCGGCACGGCCATTGCGCTTAACTTCCTCCTTAAGCTTAGGGTCTTCCTCAAGAAGCTTCTTCGCCTTAGGGCTTGAAGTGAAATCATCAAGGAGAACGTCGAAGATCTTTTGATTAAAGAGATCTCCTCCAAGGTTTCTGTCATAACCAACCCCTAGAACAGAAACTTCCTGAACTGTCTTGGTAAATCTCCCAACATCTTTGACGGTTTTCCCCTGGAACCTCAGTACAGTAGCAGTGGTCGATCCAGCCCCCATATCGTAAATAATATGGTACTCGGGGTTCTTCTCGTCAAAGGTTCGTGTAGTAGCATAATTGATACCAACAGCTAGGCCGTCCGAAACCAAGCTCATGACCTTCAATCCCGCGAGCTTAGCTGCAAGCTCGAGAGCATGCTTCTCTTCTGCGCGGAAAAATGCCGGGATAGTGAAAACCACGTTCTTAATCTTGGTCCCGGGACCCGCTAGAGCTTCGGCATTCGCGACAATGTTCTTGAACTCCATAGCAAGGAGCTCTTCCACCATGAAGCTGCCTTCACCGTAGTCGACCGGGGGGGCAGAGGCAGTCTTGAAAGCGACAGTTGACCTGAACGAACTCGGAATGATGTTGATCGCTGGGTATCTCGAGGAGTATGTAATGACCTCGTCCTCCATTATGTGTTGCCCAAGGAGTTGTTTGAGGTTGGGATAGACGTCATGAGGAAATCGCGCCGCAAGGTTCACGGCATCTGTTCCGTAGAGTCGTTCCGGGTAGGCAAACTCGCCCTCTTTTACGGGAGTGTTTGAAGGCTTGAAACCAATTGCTGAAGCTTCCTTGCGCTTTGTATCTTTGGTGAGAACAATCTCAAGAGGAATCCCAGGCTTGACAAGCGCAGCTTTGATGTACTCTTGGCCGAAGTCCATACCAAGAATTGCGGTCGATGCTGAAGCACATGTTGTAAAGAGCAATAATAGCAAGCCAGGAATGGCTGCTGCAGGTACTCCTACTGGACGCATGACAATCACTAGAGCTCCAGTGAGTTTGAAGTCTAAAAAGTAAAGAAAACGAACCAAGCTATGAAGCTTGAAATAAGGTGAATTCCAAGTGGCTGAGTTAAGGTAGGAGCTATTCGAAGTGATGTAAGAATGATAAGGGTTCAGCAATGCGGGGAAAGCCCTTGGTACTGGAAAACCCAAATGTACGAGGAGGATGATGTCTGCTTTATGTTGAGGCTCAGAATCCAAAAAGGCCAGGTTGCGCCAAAACCTTTGCCAAGCCGGAGAATTCCCGCTAAGGTATTAAAGACGAAACAGATTACATAATTTATTGGATATTAGCTGAAGCCACGTTTATTTCTCATGATTTCCTGTGGTAAGAACGGAATCTCTACCGATGGCGTAGTAAATTGGGTGTGGGAGTGGTAACTGTGACTTACCGTGTTCTGTTCTTTTGTTACGATTTCTGGAAGTTTCCGATGTTGCGCCTCATGAGGAGTCACTCGTTAAGGGACACATCTCAATGTTTCAACGGTGAGCTTTGCTTGGCATCAGCATTCAAGCATTAAGTGGAGTGAGTGCCCTGGGGTTTGCTCTGGGATTTAAACAGGCATAAAAACTTCAGATATTTCTTAGATTAATTGCCTTAACTCCTCCCCAACGCCACTTGTAACAAATGCTCTAGGTGCATGTAGTAGTCACAGTCGACTACCTGTTTAGGCTGTTACGTTACTTAGATTCTGCGACATGGTAACACCAGGCGAGCTTCTCACACAAGCCATAGAATTGAAAATTGTACTACTTGGCAAATTTGGAAGCTTTATCAGCAAGTTTTCAATACTCATGGGCGTCGGCCTATGTACAGGTTTACCCTGGTGATTATGTATAAGGGTACACGTTCTGTAAGGGTGCTCATTTTCTATCCGGATCGTATCGTTATGGAACAGGAGAGTCGACTGTACTCCCTAACTCGGCGAGCAGCACGCTGTCCGTAGGGGATGAGCACAAGACTATGTATCCCTAGCCTTAGACTCAGCCAGACCTGATGTGATAGTCCCGATCCCACAAAGTACTCTCCTAAGTCGAATTAGATTCTATAACGCCCACAGTGTGTAACATCACCACTAACCCTAGTAGTTTCCGGGTCCTTGGTGGTTGGTCAATATATACTTTCTCTGCATAAATTTAGAGTACATGCACCTTACTGAAAGCCTTTTCTAAGCGTAGAGTAGATATATGTACTCTATACTATTCTGTCGATTCTTGATTGGGGTTTGGGTATCCTGCCATGCATGCCTGTTTTCACGATAGATGTATTTGCCCACTTTCCAGATTCGGACAAAATTAAAAAATCCGGTTTCTAAGTGATACATGTAGCTACTCAAATATCACACAATAGTAATCATTTCCCTGACAACCACCACCTATGCTGTTACCCATAAAAACTTGGAAACGAAGAGCTTATCCGTCAGCATACCTACTACTACTCCAGCATATTCGCTGCTACACCTCTTACACCGTCATAGCACTCGAGTTATAAATAACCCCAAACATCCCATCAACCACTAATTACAACAAGATAGACGACCCCAGCCACCTTAAACAATATCATTATGCCTTCTTCCACTAGCTCTCGCAAGCGTCCAGCTCTCTCAACTTCTATCCAACCCTCCATTACCTCATTCTTCTCCCCCGCATCCAAAAATAGCTGCTCTAGCAGCCTCTCCACTACCAATACCACCAATACCACCAATACCATTAGCAAAGCCCCAAACACAATCACCTGGCGTACCAATAACGCACACGAGTCTCCGGGGGATATAAAATCCAAACTTCTCAATGTTGGCATGCGTGTCCGCAAGGCCGTCCCAGAGGGTCTCAAAACAGGCACCTACAAGTCTACAAAGTTTGGTGTTGTACCCCCCAGTCAAGAGAAAGCTCTGTCAAAAGTAGTAGAAGGAAACAACAATAAACGCGGATACCAAGAAGATCCGGAAATCGAAACTCCAATGCAAACGGAACGGCCGGCTGGACAGATTTCTGTGCCAAAGAGCCTGAACAGAACTTATCATGCTGCTGTGCCGAGGGGTTTTGGGGGAGATATTCATATGATCGATCAGTATGAGAATGATGACTTTGAGGAGGCAGGATTCTTGAAGCCCATAGAGTAGGAGGTGGTTTGTCAGCTTGCCATCGATGTTTCCTATCAATTACGTTGTTCGCTTTCCCTAGTTGCGACTTTCATCGTTGTTTGATTCTAATCCTGTGTAATTTATACGACTGTAGTGCATGTGCTGAATTCCGTTCTAGTAAAATGATTTTAGTATTGTCATCAGAATGGAAAGGAATATTAATGGAGACGGCCTATCAACAATCACAAAGCTTATGTCAAGTTATAATCTATAATCACCCAATCAGTAAACACAAGTATCTAGCACATGCATAGTCTGAAGAGACATGATTCAACTTAAATATATCTAAACTTATATGTAGCGACTTGTATCTACATGTAAGTGCATGTGACCGCCACAGAATTTTGTGGTGTAATAAAACCTTCCCTATTTCTATCAGCCACGTACGAGTGATTTCCAGTGCACCCACATCCCACTCTCGCGGCGACATCAGCGGCGGTGGAAACTCACCTCGTAGCAAATATACCTCGACCAAAAGATCGTTAAGAGGGAAAAGGCAGTCTCAAGCTGGTCGTTACCCAAACAATCAAGATAGCCACTCTCTTTAGATCCGATGCATACCCACTTCCTTGCTTGTAGGGGAAAGCGCAGCGCAGAAAGCATACTTCCAGTACTAAAAAAGGTTAAGAATTCACTACGTTATTCCCGTTAACGCGTCAGTTATGTAGTAAGAATACGATATTGATCCGGAATTTTTCTTGCAATTCCGGTTCAATTTAGTGTTCTTCACTGAACCTCGCAATCTTATGTAGTGATTTTACCCCATTCTTTTATCCTCTAATAGTTGAGATCGGTGCTTTAGGAGATTATCAGGACGGAGTTATCGCCCAACAAGCCAACCAGGGCCCTTAACAAAACCATTTTCCGACCCCTCTCCGTAGGACTCCATTATAAAGGCCTTCCCCTGGAGTTCATTTTTCTTTCATACAGTCATTCATGCCTCCTATCAGGACCCTAAACCCAACTTTATACACGTACATCTCCCTTCTAAAGTGAAATAGGTGTGATAGTAGGAATATCATGTAATCTTATCCGAAAAATTCAGAAAATCAAGGAAAGAAAAAGAAAAAGAAAAGAATGACAATAAACATAGCTTCCTCAACATTGCTATCAATAGGTCTATATAATGAAATGTAGGTACATGTTAGCTGCTGTTACGAAACTACAGCTCATTCAAAATGAACTCACCAAGCTCAAAAACCATATAATAACCAATATTGCCGTCATCCGATACTTCAGGTTTCCCCAGTACCCTGATGGTGCCTCTTCGCTCAAAGTCTTTGCTCTCGACCTTGACTTCAACTCCTCTCCACTTCTTCTACGAGATGAACCGGCCGCTTCGTCATTCATTTCTTCTGGCTCGTCGTCATCATCATCCAAGCCTCCTCTCGACGTCGGAAGCCCTGGCTGCTGCTGCGACATGTTGGATCTTGGAGGTGTCCCCAAAACCCACCTAGATAGTGTAACAGTTGCACCTGCAACACGGTGACTGACATATAGGAACAGGATGGTGGCAAGGACAAAGTTAGATGTTCGCCCTGTCAAACCGAAAGCACCAAGACCCAATAGACCTTTCGTGTCTGCCGCCATCCAGATATGGTATTGAAGCGTAAATGTTTCAAGCGAACACCTTCCTAGCCATGAAAAGACTCTAGAGTGAGTGTTTCTCAACTGTGGCGTAGAATTACGTAAAGTGATGAATGATAGAATTGGAATAACGGATATGTATGGATGATATGCGTTGTACTCGTATTTGTCCTCTCTTGTCGCTTCAAAAAGAAGATACAGTACAAGACCGATAGTCGAAGCGATAGTAGCGTATTTTTTCGCGGATACCCACCCTAGCATTGATGTGTATGAATTTTCCTTGTTTCTATTGACCGCAATCGCTACAGCCATGCCGACAAAGACGATCCACATATCCAATGAGACCCTGAACCTCCATTCATTGACATCCCATTCTGTCCTCGCGAGGAAACCGACCAGTCTAAATATAGCTTCCAATACCCCCGGGAAGTGGGTCAATGTGGCCGAAAGGATGGCCGCGAGCACGATTTTGGCGGCGAGGAATTTAGTATTCGAGTTGTGCTGCTCTCCAACCCTCATAGTTGTAAACACAACCAAGAACCAGTACGAGCACAGCGGAGCGAAGTAGTAGAAAAGGTAGTTTGTGCCCATCATAAACGGGAGCACGCAACTCAGAAGGTTCAGCCTAACCAGTACTGATGCAGCTCTTTTCAATGAGTAATCCTTTTGGTTAAGGAAGTAGAGAGTATGTTCGTATCCAGTCATGAATAGATACGCAGCGATGATTACACGAATGAATCCATAAATAACAGTAATCTTTGATGCCCCTGTATAATGATAAATGAGAATGGCAAACTGCATCCACCCTTTCCACTCATCTGTCTGTAAACGGTTCAGAAAAGGTTGATCCGGGTTGGTTTCGGAGCTTTTACGAAGAGTAAAAAGTCCTACCGCAAGCGATAGTACGATTCCCCATAAAAAGTCCGAAGTGAAGTATTGCTTGTGAGCTTTGTTGAAAACTTGTGTACGATCCGCATAAAAGCAGTAAACGACAGCCAGGCCAAAAACCAGAAGAGCCCATGCCACCTCATCTGACGGAAGCCATGCAGCTTGGGCAATCGACTTTATTCCTGTCTTCTCATCTGAGAGATCCTCTAAGCATTTTGTCCATGAATAGCAGCTGGATGTCAAATTCTTACCTTTACTTCTCATGTAAAGAATTGCGGGAAGAAGCCCCAAAATGAACAAAAGGCCAATCCACTGAACGTGGTTCGGTGCACGGTACCTATTGCAGCACGTCTGATCATAAGGGTATTTGGTTGCTGTTACTGCATTACACCTTAAATTCAACAGCGCTTCCGCCTGCTTTTCTGCAATGCTATCTACCAAATGAATGCCCGAGCTTTCGTACACCTGTGGTAGATCGTTAATCATTTCGTGCCATGACCAGATAACATCTACGCCCTGAAAATCCGACAGCTGTTGAAGGTACTGGTTCATAGCTCTGATTTCTTGTGGAGTTATAGTCGCCTTGCGGTCGTCGTTAAGTTTGTTCCATGCTGGTACAATGACTGGAGCAATCAGTAAGAGATCCGATTCAGTCATGTCTGTCGTCCTGCGACCCTTTCTCATGTGCTGAACGACATCGTCGATGCTATCTTTCCACATCTTTAAACCATTCATATTTTCGTGCCTTGCATACCACAGTCCGGATCCCATCAAGAACAAAGCGGGGGGATTTCCAGATACATCCTGCACTTTTCCATCGCTATATGAAGAAAGTTCAGTGTGCAACCTGCTCGAATTGAGCCAGGGATCCCAGACAAATTCCAACTTGACATCGCTTTTTTCTACCGTTATATCAACATGCTTTTCGGCCGTTGCAGGGTTTGCTTTAGGATCCAACGCCTTCGCCACAGACCAGAAAACCTGTCGAATAGATGCATCCCCAATAAATAAAACCCGACGGTTTGCTAGGCAAGTTGAAACGTCGTCGGAGACGTATTTGTGCATCATACAGCCTGGAGGCTGCCAATTTTCGGGAACTATAGTTGAGTTTTCTGGGGGATAATCGAGCCATTCGCCTTCGTTGAGTATTGCGCCGCATTTGAATGGGTCTCTGGCATCTAGAAGTGGTTTTGAGGATGACCGTTAGAGATCTACAATTTACAAGTATTGTGGAACATGGTCACGCGACTAGACAACAAATTGGGAGGAGCTTACCGAACCAGCAGTAGCGTAAAGCCACACCCAGTAATGTAATACAGATGAACGCCGCAGAAATACGGTCGATAACGGCAGGCGTAAAGCATGAACGAGAGAAAAAGCGCACCATGATGAGGTAGACTCACATGCAATGATGGAAATAGGTGTGGAAAGTTGAAGGATGGAAGAGTGATGAAGCTATCGAATATTTTGGGGGGTTTATCAACCCGATCCTGAATCAGCCAAATGGTCAGGGAGCGTGGGGAGAAAAAAGGAGAAGATAGAACAGAGGGAAAGGGCCTACAACTCTGGACTGATTTCAATTCGACAAGCCTTGGAAAATAGACAGTTCTTGAGATGTACGTAGTCCCTGTATGGAATAATAAGGCACACGAGTACATACGCAGCTTCCCGACACGTTCAGGGGTCCTATTCATTAATTACCTCCATGCCTTCGTAGGGCCTTGGCGGTTCTGAGATCTGCAGCAGCCTGCCTAACAGCGCGTATCTTTGAGGCTGAGTTATGCGAACTTGGCGAACCCAAGCCTAAAGTCCCTTGTCTTCCCCACATCGTTCCAGAGTTTACAATACCTGAGTCCTGATCGCTACAACTTCCGCGATCCGAGTAGTTGAAACTTGAGGGGTCACATAGGCTAACAGGCATCTGCGGAAATTTAGCAGCACAACGCAACGAATTCAAACTGGAATGGACACATATGTAGATACATGCTCCAGAAGAACTTGAAGTATCGTGCCGGTTTTATTGGCATTTGGATATGGCTAGAGGCCTAGTACCTATCCGCAGAGACCTGCAACTAGTGCTTGGTCCTAATACTTGTGGCTCGTAGCAGGTGTGCAATACGTTCTCAAGCCTAGACGAGATCTTACCAATTGGTCAGTATATTCTACTCGTTAGATGTCAACTTCAAACACTTAATTTCAATATATAGTTAATGTATGTAATGGCCGGTACAATATCGCAATGGCAAAGATTGCCGCGACTATTATCACACTAGATCCCAGTCACGATCGAATACCGGACCGAGGCCATGAATGGCTCTCTGTTCAAAAGCTCAGAGGTATATGTATATATATTTATACGTATATTATGATTACGTCCCGGAATCTTGTATTTCAAACAGAGTACAGAAATATATTACACAATCACAGAAGATCACTCGGCTGAAATGCTATTTAAATATTCCTAGGTTTGGACATAATGAAATATTAGTCAACAATCGATGCTGCCAATGGTCCTGGAGCCCGGATTTGGCCAAAACTGATATCTAATTAGTCCCGATAAACGCCCAAGAACCCCGATGTAGGGAGGCTGTGCACAAATACCCAGGATATTAGCTGAGGGCTCAGTCGATATATAGATGACATCACTCAAGAGGGGAAATTCAATCTACTGCTCGGTTGAGTAATTTTAAAAGAGAAAGTACTAGTATTCTGACAGCAAACCCAGCATATATCCTATTCATAAACAGCCACGTCCAGTTAATTACATGTCCATATTCGCTAAAAGAAAGCACCCCATAAAGGTTTAAAAGACAAATTTTCATGCAGTACACACATATCGACATCGGAGGGGTGCATGTATGTCAGCCTCACCCGACCGACCAGTGATCCGGCACGTTCAATCACCCTCAGCTAGACTTCTCTGCTAGATATGGTCCAGTCCAGTCCGACCGACGGAGGAGATAGACCTAAAAACAATTCTTCTCCGTATCAACATAATGTCCGACCTCTAGGGATTGGGCCCGAAGATACCATCTACAGCAGAGACAGTCTCTCTCTACTAGTTTTGATTATTATAAAACACGGAAAAAGAAAATACGACCTACTAATCGAGATGAAGACTAAGACAACAAGGGATCCGAAGAAACATTGGAATCCAAAACTTGCTACCTAATCTGAGTGTGCGTTGGCACGAGCTGTCTCTCTACGACTAATATCTCTAAGCGGATTGCAATGCTCTATGATTCACTAGATCAAACCAATCAGGTGTTGCTGTGAGCTTTCTGCAACTTTCCCGTCTATTCTTCCCATGATAGGCAACAATCGAGTGATTTCCGATGATTAATTACGGCGAGCATGCACTGAGGACTCGATATAGCTCAAGTTGGTCGTTTGGGGGCAGATCTACACCTGCATAATACTAGAGTGCTTTTATTAATTTTTAAACAATTACTTTATACATATATGTAACTATAATACGGTAACTCTTTTAACTCATGTTGTTTTTACAAAGTTAATTTATCATATTTACAGACCACATCATCCTCGATATGCTAACAACATATACCTGAAGAGAGTAACAAGAAGGGGGGGGGCTCTTTGTTCTCAATCTTCTGACTCTACATGAGAAGAAAAGTCTACACTTCCTCTATATCCTTTCTCGTAGCCTCGTATCTCTTTCCTCTAAAGCTCCATACGCCCCAATTACCCTGGCTCAAATCCGTTGGGTCCGCACTAAACATCTTGGTCAACACGCATGTACTCAAAAAGTCCCAAATGATAGAAAACTTACTCATTAATATCCCACCTCAAACTCTTGAACCGGTTCTCCCCTGGCTCTAACAACATATCGAACTCTCCTTTGCACTTATCGTTGATCCAATTCACATCCCTTTCCATATCATTCTCTGTATATCCTGTCACAAGAACTGGGCATTTAGTCTCCAGCAATTTCGGTAAAGTGTTCTCCCACTCGGCTGCACTTCCAGGATGTCCCAACCCCGGGTGGAAAAGTACAAAGCAATCAAAGTAAGGGTCAAATGGCGCAAAGGTTCCCGTAGCGTGAAGAGTATGGTAGTGCTCAACAAATGTGCTGATCTTCATGTTATGGGATACACGTTCAACGATCGCCCCAAATGGATTGGAGTCGGTACGATCAGGGACCGGGAGTTCTGAAGATCGACCGTCGAGTGATTCAGGGCCAATGAAAACAAGATGAAAAGTAGATATAGGGAACATGTGGGTAAGTTGATGCCAGACTTCTCTGGGAAGAGAGGACTCAGCACGAGCACCGAGCATGAAAATTCGGACAGGTGGTGGAGTTATGCGAATCCCTTTCATGTCTTTTCCACCACCAGTTTTGGGGGGATGAAGGGTGTAGCGGAGAGCTTGGGGAATCAGCCGTGTTCATAGGATTTGTAGATAGATAAGATGATATATACCGCTTACACTCTTCAAGCCCTCAATAGTCAGTCTGTGGCGGAGGTTGTAGGGGCTAAGTTCGTGCAAGAAACTCGCGATTGTGATAGGGTATGTTAGAAGCCTAGTAACCTGGCGAAGAGATCTTGGATCATTGACAGCTCTGAAGTCGCGAGTATAGAGGAATGTATCCCAGTTTGTGAAGTTAATGAGGGCTTCATCCATCTGCTCACCCGGGTATTCAAACTCGGGAAAGAACCTGCCAGAGCGAAGATCATGATCGTCCTCATTCGCTTCCCTCAGAGCATCACAGATTAGAATATGGTTTTCGTAGTCCGCGGCCCAATGCTCCTCTGAGCAGTAAGTGGGGACACCGCAGTCAGAGCAAGTGAACTTCACATGCTGTAGAGAGCTAGCATGATCGGGGTGCGGGCAATATGCGGTACGCTTAATTGCAGCTGCACGTTCACGCATCGAAGGAGACGGCGACTTGTCCATAGGGTGAAAGAGGTTATTCGGTTTAAGGAGGATACGTGAGCCATCTGTATGTTCGTATACCGGATGATCGCTTGTAGAGGCTAATTCCGAGGGGAGGGGTGAGGTCTGAACATCCTTTTTACCTCCAAACATGGAGAGAAACGTGCGCTTCGATTGAAGAGATGGCAGAACCCCATTTTTCAAATTTCGTTGTGTACCGGAAAGGGCTGATGACGACAATGTCCTAGAGAATTGAGATTGAGGTCTGAGAAGTATCTCCGATGGACGAAGACGAGTCAAACATCTTGTGCAGGTTTGCGAGGGTCGCATGGAAGCAACTGGTAATTGAAATCTTCTGAAAATTATTTGTAAAAATTTATTCGACCGGTAATTACTGGGTAGACGACAATTTTGAGATTATGTATAGGTTGAAGTCGTTGTCTCAATGGAGGGGTGAGAGTTGACGTTAGACGTCTGTATTTCCGTGAGGAGGGTGGGATGATGATGTCGTGATGTCGCTTAACGCACCTGCATTCTGCCCATGGATGGCTAGATCTCCTGCGCTTGCGGCTCATGGCCTGTGGTTGACTAAGATCTTTCAAGAGAAGGACAGATGGCGGTTGTGAAACGTCTACCAAACACAACCAACTGACTAATTGTGCTGTGCTTTCCTTCGACGACAGAAAAGAAGGGGAAGCTGAGTAGGCTGCTGTACTCATATATTTACGCTTCCTGCAGCTATCCAGCTATAGCTATTGGAAATCTCATCTTTTGCCATCTACCTAACTGTTAGCTTCAACTATCTGATAATTCTCACTCATCCTAGCTTCTCGCTGCCCCGTACAGCTACATACCCCCTTCCTCCTTCCTAACGACCCGCATTCATCATGTCATACGAAGAGGCCTCTTCTTCCTCCTCCTCAAGTTCTCAAATTACTCCTAATGGCCCTTTAGCCCCAGAGACAATAGACCCTTCGTCCATACTGATTAAAGTCCTTTCGCCCGCGGAAAACTTCCCCACTGATCTTGCTTTTCGCGTGCTGCCAAAATCTACGATTGGAGAGCTCAAAAGTCGTATATCAACTACCTTGGATTCTCGGCCAGCAAATGACCTACAGCGCTTGATTTACAGGGGAAAGTTACTGACAGACCAACTTGTCATTGAGAACATCCTCGGGCTGGGTCCTGGAAAGGATGGGGGCGCTGGAGTATGACCTCCCTCGTTATTGCTGTTTTTAAGCATTGGTTCTGACCATCTAATTTTACTGCCCTTAGGATACACCCCAAGACGCATACACATTCCACCTGGTCATTCGCCCCTCGATAAATAGCCCCACAAGTCCCAGTCCTCCTCCGACTACTTTTCCGAACCCTGCACTCTTCGTAAACCCTCGTTCACCATTGTCGCACTCATCATCACCAGCTCCACCGGACAGGAGGCCAACAACCACACGTACTACAACCTCTACCATTACCCCAACCCCAAATTCATCGATAGTTACCACTACCACCCGTATAACAACAACCTCTGTGCTTGCGCGCAATGGCGGACCTTCTATCACCGGGGATAATTACGCGGGGATGGGAATTGACGAATTGCGACAGGCATTGCATCAGCGTACTTTAGATGCACGGCAGCAGCAGCGAGATTTTGACGCTGCTCGACAAAGGTTGAATGAGAGCTTGTCACGGGCGAACCAAGTTTTGGGCCAGAGAATTGTAACGGCAAGGCAGACAACCGGTTCCGCCTTGGGTGTGTCAGGTCAGAGCACTGGTATCTCGATTCCGGGCACAGGTGCCTCGGGATCTGGCTCAAGTACTCCAGCCCTAAGATATGGACCAGGTGGTATCCCGGTTCCCTCTACAGGAGTGCCAACGCCGCTTGCTGGTGAGAATGGGAATGCATCTAGGTCTTCGGGAGGACTTACAAGATCGGCCACGTCTGAGCAAATGAATCATACTTTGGAAGCTGAAGATGAAGTTAGACGGCGCGCACTGCTGGAATTACAAGAAGAAGAAATCAACCAACTTCCGACGACCGCAAGCTTTGCAACTGGCCCGAATCTTTTGGAGGATTTTTACGCTTCACCTCAACCACCGGTTGGAAGGAACTTTCTAGGAGGGAACAATCTGGTTTACATGCTCCAAGATGCCTCGGGAGTTCCTACTGCCTTGCTGGTAGGTCCTCCCGGAAGTGCAGGATATCCAGCTCCTCCGCCCCCCCTTCCTGCTTTCAACATCAACTGGGGCGCAGGGGGATTAGCCGATTTACCTGCAGTAGATCTCCGGGCCCCTCGCTGGCCTATACCAGACAATATCAACCACGGCGTCCATGGAAACAATATATTCCAGAACCCTGCTTTTGGGCAAGGCTTCGGATTCCAAAATCACCATCAAAATCACCATCAAGCTCATGCTCGGAATCACGGGAGGAGGCCAATCACTTTTGCTGATGTTCTTGCGGGGGTTCGAGCTCGTGCTACTCATTTCTGGCTCGCTGCTAGGTTAGCTGTATTTGTGATCTTATTTACTGGCAGTGGAGGATGGAGACGGATGTTATACTTGGGATCTATCGCTGTCTTAATCTTCAGTATGTTTACCCAGTAATGCAATTCTACATTTTCAGATGCAGTCGTTAATGTTACTTTAGTTTGGCAAACCGGTATCTTTAATGATTTCCTCCGCCCTTTAATGGAGGCCATCAACCCACCTCCCCCCAACCCTAACCTCAACCCTAATCCAGTTGCGGCTGCAGATGGCCCTAACCTCGAGCCTAACCCAACACAAACTCCACTAGCACGCGATCCCAATGGAAATCCCATTGGACCCGCTCAAACTGCCGGAATGCTTGTTGCACGGCGCGAAGATCGTGTCAGAGACATGATCCGTGGCGTAGAAAGAGGCATCACAATATTCTTGGCGAGTCTTATACCCGGACTCCACGAAAGACATGTTGACGCTGTTGAGGCGAGACAGAGGGAGGCGCAACAATTAAGGGATGCGCAAGAGGCTGCCAATGCTGAGCCCGAAACTGCGGTTGCTGAAGACCAGGCACCTGCCGCACCAGTAGGAGAAGACGGGCAAGAGGGCTTGGGGGCAGCTCCTCAAGCACCTGCGGTTGAGGTTCAACCGGAGGTCATCCGGGGACTGCTATAAATAGGTCAATTGGTAGTACTGTCGTCTTACTGTTTTTTTTTTGGCGGTTTGTTGATTCCAACTGGCGTGGAGCGGTGCTTTTATAGCCCCTCTCCTCTCATTAATTGTATCACTGTCACTGTTCGGAGTTCTGAATTGTATAGCTTTTTCTTTTGTGGTTCTGTGCAAAATGGTTTTATGTCCGAATCTCGATTTTCTTTGCAACTGCAGTCAGCGACATGCAGATAAATACCAACTTGCGCGCGGTATTTTGAATATGAATTTCTTCATTTTTTGCGGTTACATATGTACATACATAGTTTGAATTGGTAGAACAAATGCCGGGAGTGTATTGTGTTCTCACGTATGTACTAGTAGAGTGACAATACATGATCCACGCTAGAACCCCACATCCCATTCCCCACCAATCTCGGAGAAACAAAGTGGAGGCTCTGCAATGCCAAGAAACAACCCCTCAACGATAATGTTGCTCCCATCAACCCCACTAAGGTCCAGCCCCGCCAAAACTCAAAGTTGTCATTTTGACGAATCTTCATATATTTACTCGATAGATATGCCTAGCTACAAGATTGTTGTTTTCGAGGGTACGTGCCAGCACCCATCTTACATGCGCGCCCACCTTGTGCTGATATAAGATCGTTCATGCAGGTGACCACTGTGGTCCGGAGGTCACCAAGGAGGCTATCAAGGTCAACCAAAACTCAATTAGGCACTAAAATTATAACGTTGAAAGTTAATAATCTTTATGAAAATATAGGCTCTCAAAGTTGTTGCCGCTAGCAACCCTGATATTGAATTCGACTTTCAGCCTCACTTGTTGGGTGGTGTAGGTTTAATTCCTTTTTCCCAACTGGCCTAAGGAATTAGGGTATTAATTGTACGTATAACTAGGCTTCAATTGATGCGATTGGCACCGCCCTCGGGGATGAAGCTCTCTCTGCCGCTAAAGCAGCCGATGCCGTCCTCTTGGGCGCTGTCGGTGGACCCGTATGTTCCTTTCCACCCCAATAGCCTTACACCCTACCAATCTACGAGTGCTGACCAATTCCCTAATTCGCAGAAATGGGGAACCGGCGCTGTTCGCCCTGAGCAGGGTCTCTTGAAGCTCCGCAAGGAAATGGGCACCTTCGGCAACCTCCGTCCTTGCAACTTCGCAGCCGAATCGCTGATCCAATTCTCACCGCTCAAGGAGTCTGTCTGCCGCGGTGTCGACTTCAACATCATCCGTGAACTAACCGGAGGAATCTACTTCGGTGACCGCAAAGAGGATGACGGTGATGGTTACGCCTACGACATTGAGCCTTACCACCGTCACGAGGTTGAGCGTATCACCCGCTTAGCTGGTCACCTAGCTATGCAACACAACCCCCCGCTCCCTGTGTGGAGTTTGGACAAGGCGAATGTCCTTGCTACCTCTCGCTTGTGGAGAAAAACCGTCGACGATGTTATGACCAAGGAGTTCCCGACCATCAAGTACGGCCACCAGTTGATTGACTCTGCGGCTATGTTGATGGTCAAGAACCCCCGCGCGCTGAACGGAATTATTGTTACGAGTAACTTGTTTGGAGACATCATCAGTGACGAGGCCAGTGTCATTCCAGGAAGTTTGGGACTCTTGCCTAGTGCAAGTTTGTCGGGCATCCCGGATGGTACGACTAAGGTTAATGGTATCTACGAGCCTATTCACGGATCTGCTCCAGATATCGCTGGTAAAGGTAGGCTATTTGGTCTCTTTGATTACCACGGATAATTACTTACTTTTGATAGGGATTGTCAACCCTGTTGCCGCTATTCTGTCATGTGCCATGATGCTCAGGTATTCCCTAAACCTCCCCAAGGAGGCTGTAGCCATCGAAGATGCTGTGCGCAAGGTCCTTGACATGGGCGTCAGCACTGGCGACATCGGTGGAAAGGCCACCACTGCTGAGGTCGGTGACAAGATCGCCGAGGTTCTTGCCGAGATTTTGAAGGCATGAGTGATAAATGGTGATTATTCGGTTTATTTACGGACTGTAGTCATTTGACTCGCCATTTGTTCAAAGCAAAAAAATAAAATAAAAGCATCTAAAAAGTTTTGATATATTAGGAAAGGTTTAATTATATGTGGGTGCTCAAATGCATTGAAGCCAAGAAAAACAGTGCAATTGTTCTAACGCCTGTGATATGATGTTTTCTCCGAAACGCCTTATGCCATAATTTGCCGACTATCTCAATTCTAACTCTGATATCATTTTACCTGACATAAAAGGAATTTCCTCCTGGTCGACGCTTGGACTAGAGTACATGTAGTTCCTTAGTTTAATACTAAATCATATGTATTTGGTGGTGGACTTACGGTTCCAGAGAGAATATCTGCAGCCCGCGAACATGGGTATCTTTTCCATTTTGATGGTTCGCATGAATGCAAACCTGAATAAGGAAAGTTCGAAGTTGTCCACTAAAGAAAGTCAATTCAAACTCCATAAGTAAAATGTATGAGACGTACTCCTTATGAACACCTTCTAAAGGAACGTCGATCCAGCCACTCGGCTGTTCAAAGTTCATAGTGGTGACTTCTTGCAAATCATGATATCCGGTTCCGGACATGATTGAGATTTTTGTCGGGGTGTACGACTCATCATTCTCAAAATCGAGGAACATCCGGATACGCTTAACGAATACTCGTTTAGCGAAGTGAATATTAATCATATGTGGTTGAGGGCCATCTGACCTGTTATATCAGAATTAGTCAACTGTAACAAAATAAAAGCATTGTATGATAAGACTTGCTGCCAGAAGAGATTTGTATCCTCATCTCTCAGTTGTTCCACGCCATTTCCAGGCTTGGCAGTAGAGACAGTCCAAGAGGCAAGGTTCCCGATCTCCTTCAACCCCTCCAGTGATGCCTCAGGCACTGTGATGACTCCACAAATATTAGTCTTACGCCAGGGTGCCCAGCATACAACAGGATGGGAATCTAACTGCTGCTTCCACCGGTGGTTTCTTGTTCGTCGTCATCGTCTTCCTCATCCTCCTCATCCTCATCCTCATCCTCATCCTCATCCTCATCCTCATCCTCATCCTCATCCTCATCCTCATCCTCGTCTTCCTCTTCATCCTCATCTTCGTCTTCATCATCCTCATCCTCCTGTGAGATTGTGTCTTCGTCCCCATCGTCATCCTCGGTCAGAATTGGCGATGGCGAGTTTCTATTACTGATAGGACTCTGACGGCCCCCATAATGGGGGTTGTGTTCGCGGATCCTGGGCGGCATTGTTGCTACCAAATTCTGGGGAGACGCGTTGAGGGGGGAGGTCGAAGCACCTACTAATATTAAAGACGTGAATAGGATCACGTGCGTGATCTACTGAATGCATGAATTGATGGTGCCTCACGCGAAGTCCGGGTAAATCAGCTCAAAGCTCTGATTTAAAGCTCTCCAGCTCCTAGCAGTTCTCTTAGGACTAGCACTACATTAATCGGCATGTGTCTTTAGGCCAATGGTAACTAGCATAGCTTATAATGTCGTTTAATGACATGATTGTGAAACTCCAGACACAATTTCAAATCCTAATCCGGTAGGCCTCAACTAAAGCTCCCGGAGATCGATAAACCGCCAAAAATCATTAATTTACAAGAGGACATAACAAAAGGTTAATCACACTACATCATATCAAGAATATGAGCACATCTATCATATACCACCTACAATCGAGAAATGAACTCTACTTAATAGGATACTATAATTCAATCATAATTAATCACTCGGTCCGCTAAATGCTTGTTATAAAACGCTATATAGGGATTATTTCTCTCTCATATATCCTACAGCTAATATAGCATAAGGGAGCTCCATGTACTCCCAGCTAGTTAATATCAGTAGATCGAATATCTTTTGGAGATAGCCCATATATTAAGATTTTACCTACACGACCTTATCAGCATCGTATTGAGGATCCGGATCAGGTTTTGCTCATATGGAAACTGATTAATTGTTTGGAATTCTAAAAGCTTCTATAAAGGTATATAAACTCTGGCGAATGGTGAGGCTGAAGGAAATGTCTTGGTCTTGTGTCACAAAGGATCGTGATATATATAGTCAAGAAGCACCACAACATTGAACCAACAGCTTAGGATGCTGCCCAAGCCATGAACAGCACTATCAATTGCGCAGAGTTTGCCAACAGACGAGATGATCAAGTGTACTTCCAAAGCGTGCGAGAGGCTAGTGAAAACTGGAACGAAACTATTGACCTCTGCGCGAAGGAAGTCTGCGGAGCCTTGTTCGGCGGGAGTGGAAATGCCGATATATCAGGCGTCGGAGTGAGTGCAAAGACAATCAGGATAAGACCAGGCTTGGGAGAATTAACAGATCTTAGGTGTTGATCGGCTACTTCGCACAGAATGTTATCGGGTTTGTCTTGACCGCCGTTATCTTTACATACTTCCTGGAAAATCCGCCTAGTTCTCGGTCTAGAAGGTGGACGAAACACATCACCTATGTCAAGGGAGCTCTAGAAACGTACCAGAGCTGTTCGATCTTTTTCAGTGCCTCGATCCAACTCGTTACTGTGATATTTCATGCGAGGAAGGACTTTGGCGGAGGAATTAAGAACATGACGATCATAAGTGGCCACGAGATTGAGATTGGCTGGAGCGTCAGCCTTCTCATATTCGTTCCCTTGTTCTATCAATTCTCGGTGCCAGATACCTTTCTCAAACGGCGAGGTTTGAATGTATTATTCGTCTCTTTGTGCGGATTGTTTCACCTATACATATTCCTATCACGGGTCTATGCCTTTTCCGCGCCCGAGCCCGTCGGAACGGTTGTCTCGCAACCTGAACTGGATGCCCTTCAGACAAGATGTCGCCAGCCAGAGAGAACGCTCTCGAATTACGAACGAAAGGTGTCAGCTATCATTTATTTTACCGGATCGTCGTTATTATCCCTCGTCCTCTTATACAAATCAACGGCCATGACAAAGAAGGTGCTCCTAAGATATCATGCACCTTACCACAAAAAGGCTCGGGGCTTTTTTTATTTTGCAATCCTTCCGCTGATAGCGTTCAGCCAGATCTGGTTCATACTTCGAGTACGCATGGAGCAGAAAGAAATGGCAAAATACCTAGGATTGGATTTCTTGGATGATAATTGGGGGTTTGGACAAATAATTGCTCTTCTTATATGGATGCCAGTGGTGGTTGAGTATCTGTACCGATACTACAGTAAGCAACCTTTGAACCATATTGAAAGCGTATCATTGACTTTCCAGGTGATGTCGAACCAAGCCTGGACGAAGACGTAGTTCCATACCAACAAAACCAATTTTCTAGTACTACGATGGTAATGGTATGCTAGTAACCTCCGAGAGCATTAATAATGATATTACTACAGGTTCTAATGATTGTAGGCACCCCTGCAGTCACCCCGAACGCAAGGTACAGGCCGGACAGGTTCTCTTTGAGCGAATGCATGATATCAAGTGATGACGAATGTGTAGAGTAACTGAGAAACTGAGAAAAGCAAGTTTTGGACATCTGTTTCACAGGCTCATTGCATCTAAAAAATTCTTTGAACAAGTGATTTAACTCTTCTGCACGATACCATACAAGTCTGCCGCGCTTTGTACTTGCAGAAACTGGTCTTTGGTCTTATTTCTCGTTTGTTCTAAAAACCCACGCTTCCCAGGCCTTGTGCGCCAAGGGCTAGGTAAGTTAGGGCTAGGGCCTTTAAAGCGTGGGGTATTCGCTGGCAGCAACCAAATTAAACCTTCAGTTCTACTCATTTCTTGAAATCGTGAATCAGCCAGCTTCACACATCTATTTTAGCAAACCTCACCTTCACCAGCTCCTCCATCAAACTATTCTTTTTTCCAGAAAATAAAATCCAAGATGCTTGAGACTATCTATCTCACTAGGCATGGTGTTTGTACCTCCATTAATCTCGAACCTCAAAGAAACCAGAAACTCTTACTTATCAAAAAACACAGTTCCGCAGCAACTGGGTCACTGATAACCAAGGGAAATACACTGCGACCATCACCTCTCCCACCGGCATTCCATCAGACCCCCCACTCGCCTCCCATGGAGAAGACCAAGCAAAGGAACTTGCTGCTCACCTGGTCAAACTAGACCCCAAGATCGACAGGATATACAGCAGTCCTTTCTACCGGTGTCTTCAGACCATCACCCCGATCTCTGACTTGCTCAACCTCCCAGTTCTGGCTGAAAATGGCATTGGGTATGTTTTTGCACCGCAATTTATGGTGGCACCCGCAGTTTGCGAGCTCCAATAGAAGGCCTCAGACCTTAGCTAATTGCGTGGGGTCTACTACCTACTTTTTGTTTGTTTAGGGAATGGTATGGAACAGCCCGCTTCGGTTCGTCCTCTCTCCATATTTGCTTTTTTGCGCGTGTGACAAAGCTCTAACAAAGCACATAACTAGATCATCCTTCCCCCGCTTCACCTGAGCTCCTCCACAAGTTCTTCCCCCGTCTCCAGGTTTCATACAACCCTACCATCATCCCATCCAGCAAGGGGGAGACGCTCGTCGAGATCCACAACCGCACCGCATATGCGCTCGCCAAGATCATCGCCTCGATCGACAAGCAATGGGCTGAAGAAAGTACAGGTCCCAAGTGCATCCTCCTGTGCACCCACGCGGCCACCAACATTGCCGCCGGTCGTGCCCTTACAGGTACATGCTCCGTCCAAGCTCCCCCCGTCTTTGTCTCTCCTTCAAACTCACTCCCGCGCTATAGGTGACCAAAACCTCGACGTCAAGACGGGCACGTGCTCACTCGGAATCTACCGCCGCCGCAAACCCCCAGTGACCCCACTGCTTCCGAACCCCTCCGACAACGACCCAATCCCCGACACCAACTGGCGCAACGGCAACGGTGTTGGCGGCGGCTGGGACATTCTCGTCAACGGAGACTGCTCCTTCCTCCGCGACGGCGAGGAGAGGAATTGGTGGTTCTCCGGGGACGAGGCGTGGGACTTTGATGTCATCAGGACCCCGCCGGATTTCGGGGGCCCGGGAACGGTACCCACGCCCGGGAGGATGGAGGATAATATCAAGGAAGTCGAGGCCAAGATCTAATTTTGGTTTTGGGGGTCGTTGTTGTTGTTTTTGTAAGACAAAACTAGGTAGTTAGTTTAGTTACGTACCTAGCTGTGAGAGTTATCATTGCTCACGGTTCGTTCTCATTCGCTGTATACCCTTGTTTTTCGTATTTCCGGAGTCTAGAGGATTTAGTTGGGATTGGGTTCTGTCTGGCAGTTTGCACAAAAGGGCCTTTTAGGCAGAATAGAATGCAGAGCTAGTTAACTAAAAAAAAGCTTGGGCGAGTGAGCTGTCGTGGTTTGAGACAGCGCAGTGCAGTGCAATGACATGATGTAGTATCTAGAGTGTATGTAGATCTAGGTAACAGTGAAGATGCTAATGTAGGACGGGCAAATGCCAGAGTAGCTAGCTACATACATGTAAGTACTCTACTTGAAGTACAGTGAGTGCTCTACTAATATACATCGCGTACATCATCTGTTTATCCGCCGCAGTCGCACATGCTGCAAAACGATAAGGAACCCGCGCACTAGCCCCAACCTGGACCCTGACGGTAATGATAGCTCTAACCCCAAAATGCGTCCCTAACTACAACCAACTACAGCCCTACCAGAAAAACCCATAAAAAATAAAAAAAAACCTAATACCCAAAAGCCCTCAACCCCCACCTCTTTCCCCTTCCCCTTCCCAACGCGCCTCTCCACCATCGGATTCTCCCTCACCCACCTCTCGTCGGCCTCCCACCTCCTCAGCGCCGCCGCCTCGTCCCACCCCGCCTCCTTCAAATACACCTCCGCCGCCTCCCAGTCCGTACACTTCGTGCGCACCTGAAAGCGCTTCACCGCCGACTTTCTTGCCTCCTCCGCGGCCTCCTCCTCCGTCGGCGGGTGCGACAGCGACGGCCCGGAGTACGGATGCGGGATCTCGAGGGTCCGCCGCGCGTGCAGGAGGTGGTCGCTATACAGCCGGTTATGCAGGCGGAGCGTCTGCGCGGGGAGGTTGTAGAGGACGGAGATGGAGAGGAGGCTGTCGGTGGGGCGGATGTAGTGGTGGACGACTGCCCCGCTGCTTCTACCGCTGCCGCTGGGGTAGGAGGGCGGCGGTGGAGGCGGGTCGGAGGCGGGGGTGGGGGTATAGGGTGGGGGGAGGGGGCGGAAGCTGGTGGTGGTTGGCGCGGCTTCGACTTTGGCTTTGGCGGGGAGGGATTGGCAGAAGGGGCAATAGGCGGCGAAGCGGGGGTTTGCCTTTGAGGGGGAGTGGACGTTAGATCATTGGTTTTTTTTATTTATTTTTATATTTATTTTTATGCAGAGTATCAGCTGGAATGTGATGAGATCACGATCCACCTCCAACGGGTAGATCTCGCAAACGGCAAGAACGAAAGCAAAGCAAAGAAAGAAAAAAGAAACAAAAGAGCATAGGAATCATACATCGACGCAATCGCCACAGACGGCCCTCCCACAGCACTCCCGCATTGTGCTCCTGCTCATCCTCGGGAGGACCTCCCCTTCCTCTCCCAATTGCTGTTTCTTCTCCTCGGCCACCACCCCCGGCACCACCCCCGGCGCTGGCAGAATCTCGTTTGTGCATATCGCGCAGTAGAGCTGTGCCGACGATGCATATGACGGAAGACCGGCGCTCGGTATCGACGTAGCTTCTGGTTCTTCTTTCCCCTTCATGGTGGTCATTCCTTCCCTTTTGTTTGAATTCTTTCACTTTGTATGTTATGTGCCCTTTCTTTTCTTCACTTCTCTCGGTGGAGGGGCGGTGTGGACAGTGCAAGCAAGGAACAGCTCTCCCACGAGCTCCCAGCTGGTTGGCTCGTGCCGCGGGACTCAATAGGACAGGATATGCAGGCCGAGTGAGTGGAAAGTAGGTATTACAAGAAAAAGGAAGCAGCCCAGGATCGAGCACAATTAAACAGCTGTTGCGTTACTCTGTCGTGTTTCGTTTCATCGAAGCATCATCGCAGCAGAAGAAGCAAATCCTCACTCCCCCGATGATAATATCTCCGTTATCTAATCAGCAGCCGGCGGCGGCGGCGCGGGGCTTGCCGTTCGGTCGCGGTGCATGTGAGAAGCTGATCGGGCCCAGCGTGGACTGGCCACCGTCGATAAGCGACCGGCACTTTCCGCCGGGCTGGTCCGTGCGTTTGTGTTTGTGTGTGCTGCTGGGCAACTCCTACCGTGGGCGTGGCAAGGCAGGTTAGCAGAGTACTTACGACAGTAGAGGTATGTAGAGCAGCGGGCAGGCAGGCAGGCCGCGGACTCTGGAGGTTTTTGAATTTTCCCATGTTTGAAAAAAAGAAAAAGGAACACTAGAGAACCTCCTACTCTAGCGGCAGGAACAGCACCAGGAGTTGGAACTTGGAATTGCTAGTATTTACTCTGCTCTCATGCAACAATCCGAGATGTCTTTTACTTTTCCTCACTGTCTCTCAACTGAATCCCATCCCTATCCTCTCCCTCCTCCCCCACCACCCACCTCCGCCGGTACAGTGAAACTACCTACAGTACAGTAAAACCTCCACCACCCCAACGCACAAGTGACAATGCATCGTGAATCAGTAAAAGATAAAAAAAAAAAAAAGTCAGGCACATGGAGACCGCGTGCCCATGAACCCCTCCTCAAAAAACAAAAAAGCCATTGGGAACCCCTAGCTAGGTACCTGGGCCATGGGTTTCCATGCTCTTCGAATTCGATCATAGAGAAATTCACTTCCTCATGGCCCATGGGTTTCTGTTGGATGTCTTAGAAAGAATTTTTTTTTCTGCTTCCTGGGATGGGATGGACTATGAGTACCAACCGCGCGCACGCATGCATGCGTGCATCATGTTAAGCTTTGATACTGCGCGGGCGAGGGATTTTTTAGTTCCCCCCTCCTCCTCCTCCTCCTCCTCCAGGTCAACGACAACGACGACGACAATGTGTGTCATTGGAACCGCAGCAGCAGCAATAGTTTTTTTTTCTCCCTCGTACCAGGGTTCAAGGATTACTGTTCAGTGCAAAATTCCAAAGGCTTGGTGAGAATAAGAAATTAAAGGTCACGTTTACCCAGCTGGGTACATACAACTTGCAAGGTTGGCTGTTGTTGTAAGGTTGTAGGTATCGTGAGTATCGTACTACCTATCTAGGCTACCAAGCTAGGTGAGTACCGCCATAACTCGAAAAATTGGCTAGATCAAAATTACTTGTACGGGAAACTTCTGGTGCAGATCGATGCCATTCAACCAATCACTCAAGTGGCAATCCCTGGACGGAGATAGCCAATTTTTCGAGTTTTGGCGGTATGCACATGTAAGTAATTGAGCATGCGGCTTTCTTTGCAAAAATCGATAATTCCACATGGCCAAGTTACATAGCCAAGTCACGCAAAGATATAGCTCGCCGAACACAAATCTTCTCTTCTCTGCTATGCCCCCTTACCCCCGGCCTTTCCCATTTTGATTCACAGCTGTGGAACCGGTTACTGTTTGCATTGATTGACACGTACGTAGGGCTTGCCCGAGAAAGAGAAAAAAGCATGCCATGAGAACCATGTAGCTATAAAACAGTTGTGCATCAATATATCACCAGCCCGTAGCATACCAGTACAGTACAATCTCGCTATAAGGATATGGAAATGTGACAATTTTGCATCCAAAAATATCCTTATAGGCGATTTATCCTTATAAGAAGTGCCCAGCTCACCCACACAATCCCTGTCGGGACCAAAGTTGAATCATACATATATCCTTATAGGCCGAATATCCTTATAGAAAATATCTTTATAGCGAGATTGTACTGTAGATAGGGCTCAGTACCCGGGCTTGGCGCCTCGTTCCGGGGAGCTGAGAGCTCGAGAGAGATGTTTGGAATCCTAATCCCAGGTAAATCCCTACTCTTCGCCTTATTCCCCGTTACCATGCAGCAGCGGCAGCAGCATTTGCATAGTTTGGGAGCTTTGCGGAGTAAAATCTCTCACATCTAACCGTCCAGACCAGCTAGACGTGACGAACCGGCCTTCTGCACATCTAAAGGAATATCGATATCCGCCGCCGCCGGTACAATAGAGTACATACAGTGAATATCAATGTATTTTTGGCCGTCAGGAGCTGAGTAGATCATCACCACCCTACATACATCCAAGCCCTGGTTTTTCCAGCTGTCATGATCCAGGAACCGAGGCGGAAAAGCTTTAATTTATGACGCAAGCATAATAATCAAGCCTCTGATGCCCTCCACAACATCAATATTTAACAAAAACAAAAAAAACAATGTACCAACAGCCCCGGCCCCCTGTAGAGGAGATACTTCGGCGTTGCCGTTAACCGGCGAAGCAGCCGATAAACCCTAGTGTGAATTCGCTCTTGCTGCCTCTGTGAGCAAGAAGGGAGCAGAGGAATAGGGGAGCAGGGGACCAAAAAAAACAAGCAAATCAAGCCACTAACAGCTAGTTAACGATCCCGTGTGTGCACCAAACGATAGGCATCCCCGGAAAGAAATATTTGGGGAGCTTATTTTCATGAGGCGTTCAGCCCAAGGCGAACGACTCAAGAAGGGACTACATGTACTTTAGGAACATCTATCTACTATTCTACATACGGAGAAGGATCAACAGGGTGAATAGGTACCTAGTTTGGTTGGCACTGCCAAAGGAAACACGGCAGTCAAAGTGCCGATCCTATTTATGAGGCAGACGTCAGTGTAGCAGTGTTGATCTCCAAGATGTGGTGACCTTTGCGATCTCCGGGTAGATATGTTGTGTCTTTGCAATGCTGGGGAGTCAGTAAAACTCTGAGAAATTGATATGTACCTCTGTTCTGTTGAGGAGATACATACATGTGGAGCAGTTATGTATGTTGTACCTACACTCACGGGTTAACGGTGGATCCTATCTCCTGGCAGGCAGTGATTTAAGGCCAATACATAGCACGTTTTGGCCGACCCCATACTCAAAATTATACTGTAAATACATACTCCCCATGCGGGAGGAGTAGAAGCGCGTTCATTTTCACATCAACAGTGACATCATCGCCGAAGTCACCACCACAGCAAGTTTCCAACTCCCTTTTTTCTTTGCGTGGGGGTCGATAGTAGAGTATTCCTAATATTTGTCCCGGGATATTAAAATTGTGGCGTAGGTTCTAATTGTAGTTATGTACTCAGTATGTTATGAGGGGGAGCTTTTGGCGGTGAGAAAAAAGGGCGATCCTATTCCTGTTGGTGCGGTAGTGGAATATCACGTGTGCAACCTTGAATATCAGAGCAAAGCAAAGCAAAGCATAGGCGGGCCGTCATGTATGTACATAAATCAATTGGTTGATATATGTACGGGATCGTCCTTCAATTTACCTATTCCGGATCTTTGATCGATGCTGTCACCAGAATCTCGAAACAACGGAAGTGAAAACGGCAAACATTGGGTGAACCGCCGGAGCCCCAGAAAGACCCTCTACAGTTTTGAAATGAAAGCTCAGAACGTTATGCCTATCCCAAATAGAAAAGAAAAAGCGGGTAGGTGTTTAAAGAAAAACAAGTTTAGTCGTCAGGTCGGGCTGGAGTTGATTGGATACTGGTAAGCTAAAACGGAATGAAGCTGTCAAGTTACAGCCAGGAGGGCCCGAGGAACACAATTTGGGGCAAGCAGAAGACAGCGCATCCTACTGACAGACGCGGGTGAGATGCAGAGAATGGCAAGGATTTTCTCAACTTTCAAGGTCGAAATAAAGATATGGCTTTTGAGGTATCGTGAACCGCCGTGTAACTTCGGAGGGCGGGCTAGGCTCTTATGCTGCTGCTAATCTTAGGACACTGGCCGCTTCGATGCAGCATCCGTGAGTCTAAGCAGGTACATACATCCTCACTGTTGCGTGCATTTCCAGGCAAAATAAAGCCCTGCAGATGATATATTAGATTGTGTGTGGTGTTTTGTGATGGATGGGCTCTCTGATGGAGAACCGGTGACAGAAATTGGTCGTTAAGTCCCTTTTTTTTCTTTTCTTCTCATGCGAATGCTGGATTGCCCTTGTAAATTATTCCCGCCACTCGCTTGCTAATTGAGGTAGATGAAACGAGGGGATTGGTGGCTTTAGTCCGGCACTTCCTGGTTATGATATCGTGAAATTGGGTTACGGTGCCCTCAAGTGGATATGACGGTGAGTGTGCCTTGGAAGTCGAAGCTTGCAGGCAGCAGAAATGAAAGAAATGTACGGTAAGTACTGTAGATATTTTAGTAGTCTTGATAAAACAAGGAACCAAGACTGTCACTTATCCTACCTGCATGTATGTAGTACCACGATGAGTACTTTTTCCCTTTCGATTTAATTCGTTCTACCACCCGTTTTATTTGTTTTTCACGGATGGGATTGTGGAGAAATCCATCAGATGCAAGATGGAGAACCGATTAAGGGCGGCTGCTGCACAAAGCAAGGAAGGGTCATTGAATCGGTGCGATACTTAGATACCCTAGGTGCATGGCCTACGTAGTGTGCATAACCACATTGCTGGTTACGTGTGATATTTTTTTTGTGTGAGCCATGACATGCCTGGCCATTTTTCATAGGCAGCAAGACCTCTCGGGAGAAATAGTTGAGAGAAGCCTTCTCATTTGCCAGAGAAATCCCCTTTATGTAGAACAGAGCACACACGATGTAGATACTTTACTTGTAGGTAAGTAAGTACTCGGGGCAGGCAAGAAGAACCTGAA